TAGGCCTAGATATATACAGGTCATATAATGGAGAAAATTATTGTTTTATTTTATAATAAACAATGGTGTCTGGATGTCCTGGATTCGTTATGATTATTGTAGATAAATTGCATGCTACTAACGCGCTGGCAGGGCATGTTTTCAGTGGGCATGTTCGGTTATATAACTCGATCCTGCGACCTCAGATCTCTAGTGATGTCCCCTAATCAACAGGCCGTCATACTTTTTACTGCTGTTTCAGATATGCGCAAACTAGGAAAAGCATTTCGCTATTATGTTTCGATTCCCTGTATCATACACTAACATGTGGTTTAAATATTAAAATTAATTATGTTTTTAAAATTCATACAAGTTTATATTGGTTGTACATAATAAAACTTTTGTTTTTATTTTACACACAACGTTTCACCAGTTTTACCTGGCATCATCAGTTGGGAAACAAAAACTGAGGCTAACAGAATCTAATTTAGAAAGGGTCATGTGAGAGTCTATAACTAATAAAAGTAATTTATCAATAAACTGTAAAATTTAGGTATAATAAACAAAACTTTTAGCCTGAGTCTAAGTATGGAAGTTCGTTCTATCTGTTTTGTTTTCTAGCTTTTATACTTTCCAAATATTTAATTCATTAAATATTGAAATATCGCGTGAAGAACTCTTGTGAGAAACTCGTTTTCTAAGCTTCATGATACCTTATAATAATTTAAAATATAAACATTGTTGGTACGTGAACAGTACTGACCAACCAACTGTCTTTATTTAGAATTTAGATTATTTTGTGTTCAAAATAATGATCATAACAACCGAGCACGATATCTGAATTTTACGGACAAGAGCCGTTGTGTTCACGGCACACTCCAGTTTAATGTTATCAAAAATGTTATGTTTGTTTTGTTTTGTTCTTAAGAACAAAGCTACACAATGGGCTATCTGTGCTCTGCCCACCGCTGGTGTCGAAACCTGATGTTTAGTGTTATAAGCCTTCAAACTTGCCTCTGAGCCACAGAAAAGCATTTTTACATCACTAAACTGTTTACAGCTGTAAAACCCAGATAAAATAAAATATAATTGAAATAGCTAAAAAATATTCATTAGAGCCAGTTTTGTTCGTATTTTGTCTTTAGCTCCAGTTTGCCAGCTTGAAACTTAGAAATAAATTATGCCAAATGACCCGTGTATCAAAAGTTTATATGGATATTTGAAGTATATGTTCACACATACATTAAGTAAATATATACATGAGTGGTGACACTTATAGTTTATACATAGATCTATCATTAGTTTTCTAGCTTTCTGTCTTAAAATTACACATCATTAAATAATAAAAGGTTCTCTCAGAGTTCCCCTTGATAAGATTAAATTTCCCTCCTTCTAAGTAAATAATTTTTATTAATTAAGTGAAATAATATAAATTATAAATGACTGCTTTTTTTCAGGTTTTTCCTAGGCCTGAAGCGTTATTTTCAAAGAAATAAATACCCAAACCAAACCAAAACTTAAAGTACATGGTTTAAATCAGAACTTTCTTAAATACAATAAACGAATTCATCTTATTAATGTCGTGTTTTTTAAGAAGTGAAAGATCACCTAGATATAACTGTGTTGTCACGAAATGTTGAGTAATTACATTTCCGTATAGTTCTTCAGTGGCTCAGCGGTAAGTATGCTTACAACGCTAAAAATCGGATTTCGATACCTCTGGTGTATAATTTAACAGTTCACGGTTTATCTAATTATATTTAGTCTATAAGTAAGTGTTTAAATGAATACGACTTGCCACTCGAACACTATCAGACTGGTTTTCAAGCAGTTTTTCTGTATAAGCAAATTCAATTCATGCATTATTTTCTTTTAAAATTATTATTATTTTTTGTCTTGTAAGTCTTATCTATGTTGCCCCCTCCTAGTGGCACAGCGGCATGTCTGTGAACTTACAATGCTAACAACCGGGTTTCGATACCCGTAGGAAAGGGTGGGGGCAGAGCACAGGTATCCCATTGTGTATCTTTGTGCTTAACTTCAAACAAACAAACTGATCTGTGTTACTAAGCCTAAAATATCACTTCATAACTTCACTTCTCTATTAGAAATAAGATACATGTTGATGCCTAGCGAACTCTTAACTCTCATACTATCACATTTAGTGCTTATTTATTTGTTGATCTTTTTTATGTGTGAGTAGTGACGTGAAGTAGTCAATAATAATAAGCTTTGAATAAAGTCAATGGCTGGTCATAAAATTGTAACACAAACAAATTTCAACGTATTTGTTACGTGTACTTCGGCACTGACCCGTTGTAATTACTTACTTTAACTACTATATTATTTAGTCAATAATAATAAGCTTTGAATAAAGTCAATGGCTGATCATAAAATTGTAACACAAACAAATTTCAACGTATTTGTTACGTGTACTTCGGCATTGACCGGTTGTAATTACTTACTTTAACTACTATATTATTTAAAAGAAAAAAAAAGTTTATTTATCTGTAGACATTATAAATAATTTATTTGAATTTTGTACATGTATTTATGGCAGAGTTACTAAGGTCACTTGCTCCCGTCCATAATTTGGACCAGAGAGAAGGCAGCCAGTCAACAGCACCCTACCATCCACGATAAGGGATAAATTAACTTTATCCAGTGCTCCACCATTGGGCCAACATGCGCCAAAAATGTTTTTAATAGATAGATATTTTTTTCCATTCAGCATTTTTCTTCCAAAATATAACCTAAAGTGACATCTATTTTTAGTTGATATCAGGTGAATATTTTTGTTGTTCTTTGATATTATTATTTTATTTCAATTTTTAAAATATTAAGCATTTCCTGGGGTAGAAAATAACAGCATACAAGCACTTAAATAATATAATAATTATCCATATTTTCTAAAATAAAGCTGAAGTACTTTACTTTACAAAATGAGTGCAAAAAAAAAAAAGAAGAGTAAAAATGTGCAGTTATTTTCATGTTACATATTTTATCTCACCGAGTAGTGATAGCCCAACCATCTGATGTGAGTGTGAAGCCTCCGCCATGATATTTTAAGTAATGGACCTAGTGTGATGAAGTAATGTAAGCCTAAATATTTTCACTAGACACCCGTCTTTTAAATAAAAATCTATCTTCCCGGATTGGAAAGGCATAGAACCGTGCCTTGCCATACACTGTCAGGTTCTTACCCCCGCCTCTCAGGGTGAACTACGTCATTATTAGTTGTTCTACCCAAAGGAACACCCGTACGTAGTGTAGGAAAACCAATCATGATGAAGGAAATTTAAATGACGCACTGTTGAAGGCCTTAACATGGAATACAGCAAAATAATTAGTATCTCCACCCTCTCCAAGCGTTGTCGTATCCTGGGGTCGGATCGTGGAAAGACGCAGAAAACCTTGCTTGCCGAAGCAAATCTCCTAGACTTGTATTTTAATATTTGTATGTCAAGTTAGCCAACGTTTCTAAGGTAACATTACAGTTCTTGTAAATTGGCTGTGCAGCACTACGCTCGATGTTGCGAGAGGAGTCTGCTATGTAGGACTGCGTCGAAGCTTCATTTCTCACTCACAAGTGAGGCACACCGGGTTGCGATCAGCCGTGTTTCGATAGAACAGCAGCCTGGTTCAAACAAAATGGCGCTTGAAGTTTGGAGCTCATTGATTGTGATTCGTAAAAAGTTTACACGCCTATCTGTGTTTCCGCCTTATATTTGATCTGAAATCATAGACGTATTATGTCCTTATTACCAGTGGTGGGTGTCTTTTTTTTGTGGGATCTGGTTTCAGAATCCAACAGGTTAAATAGACATGCACATTTAATGTTGGTGAAAATATCTGTCAATGTTTAGGAAGATGCGCCTGCCACATTTAAAGTAAACTGAATTTGTGGCTAGTATTTAAAGAACTTTTTGAAAAAATTCATTGATCAGGTAAGCATTTGTGTTATTTTTATTTGTTCAGCGTCAAAAGTCTTGAAATTATTTATGTAATTTTACTGCAAAAATGTGCAGGGCTGTTGAACGAACATCCAATAGTGTTACGGGAAATTTTATTATGCAAAATTACAGTTAATTTTTCCAAAATAGGCGTGATTAAAGTGAGAGGTTTGGTCAACAGTAATTAAAGATTAAGATAGGGAACTTTCAGTTAGTAACCAGTAATAAATTTAAAACTTTTACAATGTTAAAACGAGTGTTATCAATTATACTTTTAATTTAAGTTATAGTGAATTGTGAAGCTGAAAGTATTGTATATCTCGCTATGATTATTCAATTAAAAGTATGAGTTTTAAACAGTAAAGTTACGAAGTTAAATACATCCAAACCGAAATGTCTGTGTGATGCAGTTGTTAACAGTGAAAGTGCAGCTGAATTATCGCGTGGTTTCTCGAAGGGTGGGTGGGGGACTATATAATTTTAACATATCGGAGTTTCGTCGAAATTATATGCCAATGTTATAAAGGACATACGAGTGTTTAAGTTATATGTGAGCATAAAAAGTAATTATCAAATTTTTTAGATAAGACTTGGTATGTATGAATGATTTGTTGTTGTTGTTTTTTGGGGGGGACGATAACATCTGTAGTTACGAATGTGTAAATGGTTCAGTAAAGGTTGTGTGAATGTATGAAACGGTTAATTTGTTTAGTTCTTGCAGCAGTATTTTACTAATGAGATGCATCAAATATTAGTTTTATTTTTAGAATAACAAGAGTCGTTCCTCAAAATACTATATATGAAATACCGTATTTTTCGGTGTATAAGACGCACTTTTTTACCCCAAAATTTGATGTCAAAATCTGCTTGCGTCCTATACA